TATAGATTAGACTATAGACTAGACTAGACTAGACTATAGACTAGACTATAGACTAGACTATAGACTAGACTATAGACTAGACTATAGACTAGACTATAGACTAGACTATAGACTAGACTATAGACTAGACTATAGACTAGACTATAGACTAGACTATAGACTAGACTATAGACTAGACTATAGACTAGACTATAGACTAGACTAGACTATAGACTAGACTATAGACTAGACTATAGACTAGACTATAGACTAGACTATAGACTAGACTATAGACTAGACTATAGACTAGACTATAGACTAGACTATAGACTAGACTATAGACTAGACTATAGACTAGACTATAGACTAGACTATAGACTAGACTATAGACTAGACTATAGACTAGACTATAGACTAGACTATAGACTAGACTATAGACTAGACTATAGACTAGACTATAGACTAGACTATAGACTAGACTATAGACTAGACTATAGACTAGACTATAGACTAGACTATAGACTAGACTATAGACTAGACTATAGACTAGACTATAGACTAGACTATAGACTAGACTAGACTAACTAGACTAGACTATAGACTAGACTATAGACTAGACTATAGACTAGACTATAGACTAGACTATAGACTAGACTATAGACTAGACTATAGACTAGACTATAGACTAGACTATAGACTAGACTATAGACTAGACTATAGACTAGACTATAGACTAGACTATAGACTAGACTATAGACTAGACTATAGACTAGACTATAGACTAGACTATAGACTAGACTATAGACTAGACTATAGACTAGACTATAGACTAGACTATAGACTAGACTATAGACTAGACTATAGACTAGACTATAGACTAGACTATAGACTAGACTATAGACTAGACTATAGACTAGACTAGACTAGACTATAGACTAGACTATAGACTAGACTATAGACTAGACTATAGACTAGACTATAGACTAGACTATAGACTAGACTATAGACTAGACTATAGACTAGACTATAGACTAGACTATAGACTAGACTATAGACTAGACTATAGACTAGACTATAGACTAGACTATAGACTAGACTATAGACTAGACTATAGACTAGACTATAGACTAGACTATAGACTAGACTATAGACTAGACTATAGACTAGACTAGACTAGACTATAGACTAGACTATAGACTAGACTATAGACTAGACTATAGACTAGACTATAGCTAGACTAGACTATAGACTAGACTATAGACTAGACTGTAGACTAGACTGTAGACTAGACTGTAGACTAGACTAGTCGAGACTAATTTATAGTCTAGACTTTAGTTTGATCTATAGTCTAGTCTACAGTTTGTAGCCTAGACTATATTAGTTTTTTGAAGTTTTTTTACAAGTTTGTGTCTTAAATCTTTCGGTTTTCCCCTAAATTCTAAATAATAAGAAAAACTCTTTAAATTAAGTTTTTTTTTTTTTTTTTGGTTTCTGCGAAATATTTTAATGTGTTACATATCAAACACCAAAATTAATATACCCACTTTTTGTTTGTTGTTAAGAACAAAACAGAAAAAAATAAACATTCAATATAAACTCTCTTAGTTTTAATGTCAACTCAACTACCCAATAATGTAACGTGCTTATAAAGTATAAGCCAAACAAGTGTATTAACATTAACAGCAACAAGAACAACAACAATAACAATGTTTGCCACTAACAACATTAGCAAAGCTAGTAAACACTACAAGAAAAAAATAAGAAAAAAAAAACTCAAGTTTTATCTATTATGCGTAGCACGTTCAATTTATTTTAAACACGTCTAAAATTTTTTTCCATTATATTTTTATAAATTTAATTATTATTGTCAAGATTAAAACCATAATAAACTAAAGGTGCCAATAAGATATTTTTTTATTCCTCTTAACATTACTGTAAGACAAATAAAGTCATACTTAACAAAAGTTCATGTAAATTAGAAAAAAAATATAAGAATTTTTTTTTCTCTAGATTTAACAAAAAATATAATTAGTTTAAATAGCATTTTACCCATAAATATTTTAGAAAACACAAGAAAAAAAAATTGTTGTATAAAACATTCACTTGTTATTTTGCCACTTGTTATTTTTTTAATAAGGCCGTGGCTGTTTTTATTGGCTTAGATTGGTTGTTTTGCCTTGCATTTCATTTTAAATTCATATCTATCTTCTCTCATACAATTGACCCAATAAACAACCTTAATTTGTGTTATTTAAGTAAAAATTCATACATTCAAATTTTTGTTGTTGTTACTTTTTTTTTGCTATTTTGAGCATTACATTTACTACTAATATTTCCAATATTAACCATATCAAGATGCAGGCAATGGAAACAAAAAAAAATGCTTCAAAAAATGTTTACGAATAATTTTAGTGGAAAAAAATTTATAACGAAAAGAAAAAACTAAAACTTAAACCACATAAAAACATATTATAATAAGACATACAGTAACAACAAATAAATCCATAAAGCAATCTAATAGAAAAATGTTCAGTTGAGGACTAGAGACAGTTTTGCAGAGGTATTAAATCTTTGAAAATAAAACTGTTCAAAAATGAAATATTTGTATTGAAATAACGCTTAAGTACTTAAATGGTGTTTTAGTACCAAAATTAAGTTTTAGTACTAAAAAATCTTTATAATTGCGACCTTCGTGTGAAGGTCCCTATAATCCAGGTCTTTATATATAGCGGAGTCGATATAGCCATGCCCATCTGTCCGTCTGTCTGTTTGTCTTTCTGTGGGTATTGAAGTCGAGAGCTTTACGTGAACACCCGCCGTGTTGGCCTATTTCACGGTGGTCTTTTTCAACCACTGGGTGAGCTTTTGTGACGACTCACCACCACCACCCCATTGTGTTTCTTACACGCAGGTGTCAATTTACGTATATGGAAGTTTCGGTCCAGTATACGTGCAATTTGCTCAAGTACTTGAGCTATCTAATCTCTGACCATTTCTGCTCCGTTGCTTAACTTCCGAGATGAAAAATATCACTTCCGTTTACAACCACGCAGATGGTATGGCCTCTGTTGAGTTGGCAACAGCACCTAGAGACGTAACCGGTAGACCGAAGTAAGAACCTATCAATTAAGCCGCTACTTTGTTCTTACTCACAGAGGACACACTGTGGTAAATATGGCATGAATAGAGTTTGCTCTAAACATACCTGGACAAGGAAGGAAAATTCAATGGTATCACTTTCATCCATCATCATTCAACCCTGCACACTTCTCATTCATCCGACACACTCATAAGAGAACAACACTCGACAGACTCACACGGACGGATGAGATACGTATACCCCTACATTCATCCTGTATCAGAAACATTTAACACCAACTCATTTAAAACGCTTAGTCCCACAGTCACTCCTCTGTAAGTTATCAGGAAACAGCACAGAACTTATACCGAAATATAGATTTCACCGTACAACAGTATTTTAACCGCAACCTACTCTTCTCGCGAATTTGGGTTTAAAGCGCAACCACTATGTGGATCCCGAAGGAACTTTATCCAACTGACCAGTCAGGATAAAGTCTTGCGGGCAACTGGCCACTCGTGTTACTAGATAATGTGGTTGCAAAGTCCGAGGAGTGAATTGACATCACCAGTTTATAGTCCCGTTAGACTAGAGATAATGGAAGCAGCTCTTTACCCCGGGATTGCAATACACCAAGATGAGGGTCTTTCATCAAGGAACATTGCCCCGGGGGTGTCTGTTGGTATGTTAAAATCAGTTTTTAGAAGACCCCAAATATCTGCGAGATCCAAATCTTCAATAATTCTATCAGACATGCTTTCGGCAAGTATCGGTCCATAAATAAAGGAGATATGAGTAAAATTCTCAGACAATACAAAAATTTCGATTTTTTGTGCAAGCTAACGGTGAATTTTGTTCTTGAACTTAGTTTGCTTGTTTATAAGACCAACATGTTACAGAGAAAATACTGAGTATAAAAACATAATATTTGGAGTAAATGAGAGTCTATATAAGGGAACTTTTTGGTACTTTTCCGTTCTTCAAGAGGTACTTAAAAAGGTACTTTTCAATAATATTGAACTTAGAAATATGAAATTATGCAAGAATAGCCAAGGAACCTATAAAAGAAGACTTTCTCAACTATTTTTGACATCCTTAAAACCATCAAAACATTCAAATTTAACGAAATCCCTCCTTTAAATCCCTTTCCAGATCACAATGTTTGAATATCAATTTTTTTACTTTTTCTACTATTTGTGATTTTTTTTTTTTTGTTGCAAGACTTAACATAAAACACGACAAGCAACAGGTTGCCAACATTAAAATAACATGCAACATGTAGCAGAAACAGCAAAACTTCTCTACACATACCACCATTATTATTATTAGTAGTATTATTATAGTTAAGTACTACGAATAGGTGGTTGGTTGGTTTGTTTCTTTCTTCCAAATCCAATTCTATTTGGATTTTATTCGTTTGGTATTTGTTTGCTGTGTTTTCTGTATTAAATTGCATTTCGCCACAAATAAGTTTAGAGATAGATTTATTTCACAATGTGTTGCAATATGAAGAGAAAAAAAATCTCCTACTTCTTCTTTTTTGTTTTCTATAAAGTTATTTATCTGGCACCTTTTATATGCATTTATATTTACTATTGGTGTTGTATGCATAGTTTGGGTTAAATAAAAAAACATTCCGAAATTACAATTTACAATTTACAGTTGAAGTTTGACTTTCAAATGAGGGGGAAAATATAGTTTTTGGTTTGAACAAGTGGCAAAAGGGAAGATTTTTATTGTTATTGTTATGGCCACCACAAAAAATCGTGTTAATCGTGTTATTGTGGTAAAATATTTACAATTGAAATGATTTAAAGAAAAATATGTATTATTAATTTATAATTCGTTATTAGTTTTGTTATGTTTTTTCTCTCTCTTGTTAACCTTTCTAAATATTTATTTTATAATTTTTGTTTTTCCTCTTTTTCTATTTCATTGACAGGTTGTACAAAAGTTTATACCAAAAGTTCACATTTAAAAGCACACCAAAGGATTCACACAGGTAAGCAATGAGTTTGTCTAATATTTTATTAGTTTTAATTGTTATTAAATAACTAATTAAAGGGAAAAGGTACTAAAGTTATTACATTTCAAGCTTATACAGTTTGAAAGTTAATTAACAGGTTTGTGTCTTAAATCTTTTGAAGTAGTGTTAAGAGCTTTTCGAAAAAATGTCGTTCATTAGCGAGCAATCCTTAAGTTGCTAAAATTATAAGAAAATATCATAGCTAAGAATATAGACTAGACTATAGACTAGACTATAGACTAGACTATAGACTAGACTATAGACTAGACTATAGACTAGACTATAGACTAGACTATAGACTAGACTATAGACTAGACTATAGACTAGACTATAGACTAGACTATAGACTAGACTATAGACTAGACTATAGACTAGACTATAGACTAGACTATAGACTAGACTATAGACTAGACTATAGACTAGACTATAGACTAGACTATAGACTAGACTATAGACTAGACTATAGACTAGACTATAGACTAGACTATAGACTAGACTATAGACTAGACTATAGACTAGACTATAGACTAGACTATAGACTAGACTAGACTAGAGACTAAACTATGGACTAAACTATAGACTAGACTATAGAAAAATAGGAAAAAATTCTAATTTTTCAAGTATTTGTTCAAGAATAAACCAAAAACCTGTTCAAATAGTTCTTTTGAAAGAGAAAGCTTTCCTTAAGGTGTAGCATATGTTAAGGCAGTGTTGGTCATTTCAATTATTAAACTAGAACTGCTGAGACAATATAATTTCTTTTCCACAACAGCCCACGTTGTCAGGTGATTAAAATTAATGTGCTATTTTTTCTTCAAAAAATAAATTTTCTTTAAAATTTCAGTTATTATTTTTTTTCTTTGTAAAGAATTCATAACAAAAGAATAAATTGCAATATATTGTTGAAAGCTGAGAAAAAAATTCATTTGTAAAAATAAAATGAAGAAACAAAATTGTATTATTCTTTCATTCATTTTGCTGACCATTCATTCAGCAGGCTCTTTAAAATGCATGGTTGTTGTATGTATGGAGAGTATTTATGTACCAAGATGTTCAGATGTTCAGTCGTTCCGTCGTTTTTATTCTTGAATGTTGGATTATTTAGTGGTTTGGTTGAATGGTTGATTCGTTTGTTCATTCATCACTTAACCTAATTTATAAGAGGTAGTTTGTATTGTGAGCAGAAAAAAAGGCCACTGCCACTTGTACCTTGTTTATGTTGCGTTGTTTGTTCTTCATTCACTTGCTTCTGACTGACTTCTTGATTGTAGTTGATGTTGTTGTTGTTGCTGCAGCAGCTTCTGTTGCTTATTATTGTTGCTGGTATAACGTAATACAACAACTTAACACAGTGACCCACAAAAGCTACAATAACAACATCCCAATAAAGTGCATTCATTGCTCATGTTCCTTCTACACAAAGAATCCAACTACAACGAAATCAAGACTATAGAAATTGTTTATATATAAACCAGTGAAGAAGAGGAAGAAGAAGAAAAGGATGTTGTTGTGTGTATACAACAAGAGGCGTGCTGTATCAAACAATTCATACTCTTAAAGATTTAGTTAGTAGAACGTGTCCATACCTCATTACGAAACCTTTAAACTAAATTCTGTGTTTTTTCTCCACTTCTTACTATTCCTACTACCACTACTACTGCTGCTGTATGGGGCAATGTTTGCTAAAAAGGTGGCTTGTTTTCATTATAAAAACACTTAAAAAATAAGCTCTTAAAAGTTCTTGCTACTGCCCGAGCAATTTGATGATGTTTAAATATTTATAATCAACAAGTATGCTTTAGTTAGTTGAGGTTTTTTTCTTCTAGTTTTTAGATCTTGTAGCTGAAATTGAGATTTAATCAAATAATTGAGATAATGAATATAATCTGTGTAACTAGATTAATACTTGTTGTTAGATATTTTAATGAGTTTATGACAGTTTTAAGGAGACTTGCTTCAAAGAAGAGGAAAATTAAATTATTTTAAATTGAGGTTTGTTAGGAATATCATTATAATTATGAGAGAGGAAAAGAGTTAAATAAATTTGTAGCAATTAGTTTATATTAAGCAACTAATGAAAGAAAATTCTAGAATAAGTATAATATTCTAGAATAATCCAGCTTGTTTCGAATTTATAAAACTTAAAATTATTCAAATAAATTAAAAGTTACGAAATGTCTAAAGCTTTTTACGCAATATCTCTTCGATTTTTAAAGAGTTTTTTTGTATAAAAGCTTTACATTTGAAAAGGAAAAGGGATCTTTTTGACAATTCAGCTTTTAGTAAAACTATTCAAAAATTTTTTTTTAAATTTTGAGAAAATTAAAAAAGCTTTTATAAAAAAAACAACGTTTAAAGCTGTTTTAAAAACTTTTTTGAAAAAAAAGCTATTATAAGATTTTTAGAAAGCAAATTTTAATACAATTTTTAACGAAAAAAGCTTTTATAAGATTTTTGAGAAAAAGCGTGTTTAAGCATTTTTGAGAAAAAAACTTGTTTAAGCATTTTTTGAAGAATTTTAAGAAAATTAAAAAAGCTTAAAAAAGACTTTTTGGGAAAAAACCTTTAAAGCAGTTTTAAAAACTTTTTCGAAAAAAGCTTTTATAAGATTTCTAGGAAACAAATTTTTATAAAATTTTTAAGAAAAAATTTTTTTGAGAAAAAACAATTTTTTGAAATTTTTTAAGAAAATTTAAAAAAAGCTTAAAACAACTTTTGAAAAAAAAAACGTTTAAAGCTGTTTTAAAAACTTTTCGAAAAAAAAAATTTTATAAGATTTTTAGGAAAAAAATTTTTATAAAATTTTTAAGAAAAAAGCTTTTATAAGATTTTTGGAAAAAAACGCTTATAAAAGCTTTATTTCAAAAAGATATTTTTAAAATAAAGCTTTTATATGATTTTCAAAACAAAACTTTTTTAATATTTTAAAGAAAAAAAATGTTTAAGATTTTTAAGAAAAAAGATTTAGATTTTTAAGAAAAACTATTTTTATTCTTTTTAAGAAAAGAGCCCTTTTAAGCTTTTTAATATATTAAATTATGTTCCTTTTAAGATGAAACCATTTTTTTAATATTTTTAAGAAAAAGTTCTTTGATTGTTTTTACAACCAAAGCTTTGTTATGCTGTTCAAACACAAGTTTTTAAAGCTTTTTTAAGAAAAAAGTTTTCTTAAGAATTTGAGGAAAACAAAATTTTGAAGAAAGCTTTATTGTGTTATTTCTTAATAATGTTTTTAAAGATTTTGAAAAAAAATGTTTTTTAAAGCTTTTTAAGAAAAGCTTTCCAAAAAAAAACTTTTGGAATTTTTTGGGAACAACATTTTCTTAAATTTTTTAAGTAATTGATATATAAAGCTTTATAAGGATATCGTTTTTTAAGATCCAAAAATTTCTCAACCTTTTTAAGCATTTTTAGGCCTTTTTTGAAAAAAAAAGATAATTTTGTTCAAAGCTTTTTTTAGAATTTTTATGAACAAAAGATTTCCTAAGCTTTTTAAGATTTAAACGATTTTTTAAGATTTTTGATAAAAAAAGGTTCGTCAAGCACTTTTTGGTAAAAAGCTCATAGACAAAGGCTTTTTAATCAAAAAGTTTTATAAACTTTTTAGAAATATTAAAAAAAACATTTTAGGAAAGCTTTTAGTTACTTAGTTATGCAGTTCTGCTTTTTGAAAAAAGTTTTAAAATTTTTTTAGGAAAAAATGTTAAAAGCTTTTTAAGAAAGAAGTTTTAAAACATTTTAAGAAAACACTTTTGGAAGCTTTTCCTAAACTTTCGAAGTAATGGGCAGTGAATACTTTTCCTCAAGCGTTTTAAGACTTTTTGATAATAATAGTTTTTTAGCTTTAAAATATTAAACTGTTATTTAAGCTTTTTTTAAAAAAAAGCTCTATGTCTATGAATAGCTTTACCTAATTTTGAAAATATGTATATCAAAGAATGTTTCGCTTTAAACTCTAAGCAGGAAATCTTTAAATTAGCAAATATTTCAAAATTAAATAGAAAAAAATATATTTAGTGCTTAAAGCTGATTGTTTTGCAGTTTCATTTAATAAAAGCTTTAATAAATCACCACATAACCCACAATTAATTATCAGCATTATACACCATAAAAATTGCTTGTAAAACTAGCCACAAGATGAATGAACAAAATGAGTGAATACAACACAAGGCTGGCAGACATTTACGTTATTTATTTAAGCTTTTTTGTTGTTTTAAAGAAAAAGAAAATAAATGTTGCAATTTAATTTTATTAATTTGTGTGCTTGTTTTTGCAATCAGGCGTATATAAAAATGTAATGAAATGATTTCAAATGCTCAAAAATTATACAAATCTTTGTATAGATGTAACAAAACTCAAAAAATTGCTTGAACACACAAATTTTAGTGCATGTAATCTGAGTCACAGTCATACTCCTTTTTTTGGGAGATCTTTTTTTTCTATATTTATACAGACATCACTGGTTATTTTTGGGTGAGATTTAGTTTTTGTTGGTGTAAAACAATTTTTAGATTTGTACTTTTTGGACAAGAAAAGAAAAACTACTACTACATACTCTACTGCCGCAATAACTTACTCGGCCAGAAGGAAGCTGTTTTTATGTGGACTGATGTTAACTATGACCAAAGATCTGTTTTGTTGGTTTTCAGAGGGGGATCATGTTATTTAAGTTTTAAACCCACTATTTTTTTGGGGGTTTTTATGTTGTTGGATGCTTTTGTAATAAGACATCGTCCATGAGGCTGTTGTTGTTGATGATGATGATGCAACAACGCATGGTTTAAATCACGAAAGGCGTTCAGAAAAATCTAAACAATCAACATTTGTTTCTTCCATGTGGAGTGATTTTTCTTAGTCTTTTTTTCCTTCTTTTTTGTATAATTTAATGCATAAAAATTTGACCACAAGACTTTAAATCACGTTTTGCGAAATCCACTAATAGAAAAAAAAAACCAACAACAACAACATAGATTTCA